TTGACTAGCTGGTTCACTCGTCAGCCTCTCTACATGCAGTGCTGTGTTTTTCAACTTCCTCATCTGGTGTGTCTTGATAATTGTAGAATCCCAACAATGTGTAAGGCAGTGCACGGCCTGGCTGTGCACGGCCTAACAGTGCACGGCCTAACAGTGCAGTTAGTACAGTTGTCCGGTGATCGCAGCATGTTTTCACTTCACCGGAGTAGAACCTGCCCAGCGAGCAAACTTTCTTCTTTTCTTATCGTTCTTATTTATTTCTTGCCGCTTCGTATCTGAAGGTTTGCATCAATAATAAACCGCTCAAATGGATCAGTGGAGCAGTAAAGAGTTATTTTATATATATTTTTCTTTTTTTTTTGTGAAGCAAAATATGGTTGTCAGCACACCCACGAGGTAATCGATGGCTGCTGCGTAGTTTGGCTCCCACACAGACTGTTGCATCAAGCTCTAGCAGAGGCGTGTGAATGTCAGATATGATCCGATATCGTCCAGCGCTGCAACTGATGGCTCATCGGCGACGGCGAATCTGTCAAAAAGGGTTAAACGATTATCACCATCATTGAAAAACATCTAAAGTTTTGACTGGAACTAAGATAAAGTGCTGCTGTCTGTTGCTGTTGTATTTCTACCGTGTTGACTTTAGGGAAGTGACGCAAAAGTGGAAAATATCTCAAATAAATAGACAACAAAGCTTCATTAATTTACTTTAACAAGAAAAAAACATGCAAGCTTTCCACTGAGGTGGAAAAAAAGTATTGGGAAAGTCTGAGACAAAGTGTTTTGTCCTGAAGCCACACAGCAGATCACAGTTCATAACCTTTTATGAAAACAATGCAGAATTAGTTTTAGACGTGTGGGTTCACTTCGATCTAACCGCATCTCTGATTCTACTGATATCTGGACATTTTTCTTTGCACATTGAGGTCTTTGTTTAATTACCTCCCTGTTGTGATAGGACGGTTTGTCAGGATGTTACACACAGAGTCCTGGTCCTTATGAAATGACGCTGTAAGAGCAACATGTTCTCCCAACTCGTCAAATATACGGCAGCAACTTCATCTATGACGCTCTACGTACTCCTCTAGTGTCAGTTTATGTGTCACGTTCTGCATGTTACGTTCATACACTTTAATCTTACGTTTAAAATACTTGGTTAGGTTTAGGAAAAGATCGTGCGTTGGGTTAAGATACGCAACATTAGTTAACGTTTCATAGGTTACTGAACTTAACTTTATACTCCGTCATCTGACTTTCTCCATTCACATCTACGGCCACGTAGAGCGTCTTAGTTTGACGCGTACGGCCGCTGACCAAGCTGCCGTATTTAACGACTTCAGAGTGAGAACCACAGACTGTATGTCGGTTTGTGGACTGATGTTCTGAAGCCTTGAGTTTGGCGATTTCCTCTGTTACATCTTGGCTGTTTTTGCAACCTATGAACAGGAAGTGACCATATATGGACTGAGGAGGAGTGACATCTGGACTGAGGAGGAGTGACGTAGAGACGCCGTATACGTCTCTGGTAGAGACCTGTCAATCACTGTGTAGCTCCGCCCTAAAGCATCCCCTGCTTTATGGTCTGTGTGACTCTAAATGGACCATAATGTACTAAATGAACATCATGCTGTATTGAAGAAGACTTGAAACTAGAGATTGAGACCATAAACTCATGTTTACAATGTTTACTGAGGGGAAAGTGACTCGTTGTAAAGGAGCAGAACAGCTTTGATGTCTAAAACACAAAGGGTTAGAATCACTCCTGGTTTAATAACTGCTTAAATATTGAACCTTTTCTAAAAAAGACTTTCACAGATACAGATACAGATGCATATTGTTCTGAGATATTTCGTATTAGCAACCGAAAGGTCACTGACATGAACTAAGCAGCCTTGCAGACCTGCTCATACGAGCCTTCCCTTAACGCTGCTGTAACGATGTGCATGAATATAACTCACTGTCACGTGTAGACGATCGTCTTGTGTTTAAATGTGACTGAGCAACGATTGGTGTCGACGTGTTTCATTGTTTCAAGACGACAAAGAGAAGCGACGGCTTCGGCAAACTCTTTTGAGCAGAATGTGTCTTCGGTCGTGTCGGCTGTTTCAATATATTGTCGAGCTTCTTCTTCCATCTCTCGCTCGGCCTGTGTAACCTCCATCTGTTCACACCCGTCACATCTACCTCCTCTCATCACTCGCTGGCTAATAAAACAACATTTTATTTTTCAGTCCAAAATAACTAAACGGTGCCAGAAACGAATATAAAAATAGTCAGGCACGGAGCTGATCTAATAAATATGATTAAAGGAAGAAACCAGCACACGCATGTATTATTGTGGACTTGCAACTTAGTACAAACAATACTTTAGTTGCTATTTTAGCAGTTTTCTTTCCAATTGTTGAGCTGTAATGAAGCGACAGCTGTGGTGTGTTTGTCATCATGTCATAGATGCATTCCTGTTTAAATAGCTTTTTATTAATGAATAATAACGTGCTATGGACGCTATGAAACACACACTAGCAGCTAGCATATTCCTTTTTGTATCACAGACTAGTGTAATAGTGATTTCACTATTTGTATGTTGCCATTTATTGTCCGACCGCTGTGAAACTGTCCACGTCGTCGGTAGGAGGACTCTGTAACTTGCGTTTATTTGTCAGGTGGGGGTTTGTGCTAACACAGAGTCTGTATATAAGAAGCGGACGCAGCCAGCGTGACGTCACCCATTGGTTTGTGGACTGATGTTTTGAAGTCTCGAATTCAGCGATTTTGCCATCGCCATCTTGGATTACGGCCGTCGCCATGTTGTTTTTTGCAACCAGTGAACAGGAAGTGACCATATCTGGACTGAGGAGGAGTGACGTAGAGACTTCTTATACATACGTCTCTGGTAGAGACCTGTCAATCACTGTGTAGCCCCGCCCCTAAAGCATCCCCTGCTTTATGGTCTGTGTGACTCTAAATGGACCATAATGTACTAAATGATTTATTGAAGAAGACTTGAAACTAGAGATACTCGTGGTACTGAAAGTGCAGAGGGTTTAGACATCTTAGTGGTGGCATGTGGGTATTATATCACAGCTCATTAAATCAACAAGTTTATTCCGCTGGGAGCACGGATGTGTGAGGATGGATATACCGATCATTCCTGAGAGTAAAGCTGCAGCAGAGCCTCGCTTCACTTACGTTTTCACCTGAAAGTGGATCAATTCAAGGAGCACAGAGCTGCTGTTAATCTAAATCAGTTAGTATTGAATGAGAGAGAGAACAAGGGGGCAGCATACTGAAGGGAACTGGAACATATGTTACTGCAGGCGGGGAAAGCTGCTACTCTTTAAGTGGATGTTAATAGAAGAAGAGAAAGAGAAAGTTTCCCTCCAGAATAAGAGCCACAGATGTGCGTGACGAGGGACTGTCCTGGCTACTGAAGACACAAATCAAATTAATTATAACGACTTCATAACTGTCTTTAAATTGGCTGTAAATTATTTTTACAAGAGAATTATCATCTGCTGCTGCACTCGACTCGACTGAGCTCTGTAACGAGTTTCAGCTCATTGTTCAGCGCTCAGCCACACGTCACTGCTTCCCTCTCACAGGAGTCGGTAGGGACCAAAGTCTGAGCTAAAAGAGAGAACATTGGACTTCCATTCAGAAACACGACAACAGAAACACGACAACAGAAACACGACAACAGAAACACGACAACCTTTTGCTCGCAAGTTGGTCATATTACCTTGACAGTTGATTATATCTCAATGCTCTATTCACAACCTGTGGTCAAAGAAGTTGGTCAGTTATTGCAGAAGGAAGAGGAAGGTTCATGTTGTGGATCATGGTGCTACAAATTAAAAGTGATATTGTAGAGTTTGACAGACTGATGGCATCTGAGGGAAACATCGGGGGGGCTGCAGAGATAAGACAAAGCATTCTGTGGAGCAGAAATATGTACTGTATGTTTCTTTTTTTATTAAGTCTCATTTATCATCTTGTGACTCCTCACATTTTTCCAGTGACCCCTTGTGGGTTCACTGGAAAAAGTACTTTGTTCCGCTACATCGGACAGGCTTCAAAAGAGCGTGAACAAGAGACGGTCACATGTGGAGATCACAGGGTGGCGGTCGCTGAAAGCAGAAGAAAAGAGGCAAAGAAGCCGATAGAGGATAAACACATCGAAATAAATTAAAACCAGGAAAGACGAGTTTCATGAAAGGCAGGAAAACAACATTGAAGGCAGATGGAGGAGCCATTGTGCTGCAGCTTCAGAGAGCGACGCAGGTGAACAGAGGAAATGGAAAGTGGAGAGAAAATACATCTTCAATGATTGTGCAGCATTTTTAATAACACACAAACACACAAACACACATGTCTTTTCTTCTTCTCTCACGTCACTCCTCTTTGTAACCCTCTAGATGTTCCTTTATGCTGCAGTGATGACATTTACATCAACCATATATATATATATATATATATATATATATATATAACACAATGTGATGTTTACATGAAACACATCACATATTTGCTTCCAGTGTGTAGTCTCACAGTTACCTGTTTTATTTGGTGTATATCTGGTCGTAGCACGGCGTCACATCTTCTTTACCTGGTTACCTTTGACCTCTTCTGTCCTCAGATCGCTCATCCATGAATGTACCTAAAGCCTTCTGGTCACACAGCTCTGTAGAAAGAGTCCCGTCAGAGCTGTGTCAGTGTGAAGAGAGCTTCAGCTGGGATTCACAAACTGTTGCCAGATTGCAATTTTGGCGCTTGTGGCATAAACGCGCCACGCGGTCTGAAAGCTAACCAGCCTGCACTGACTGCACGTCAGAAGCATTGTGCTGCAGCGTGCCGGGGGTCCCAACGCGTAGTGAGCTGTGAGTGGTGCGGGATTCAGACGCTTAAGATACCAGTGACACAATGAAATATGACCCAGAGATGTCCAGTCCACAAAGAACAGATTAATACGTTTAAACGGCAAAACAGTTTGTGACACTGACAGGAAAGGGTGCACAACTTTGGCGTCACCCGCTTCATCATGTGTGCCAAAGAATACGAAGTGATGCTCCGGTGTCGACCCCGGGTTGTTTTGCCAGAAGCTCTTGCGTTTGGGTGACTTGAGCTGTCGAGGGAAAATGTCCACAGATGAAAAACTCTCACGGTTCTTTATTTAGTTAGTTAGTTTATTGATTATTCTAAAGATTATTTTCTTATTTCCCGATTAATATAACAACTCAGTTACCCAAAAGAAATATCAAATATGTGTCGCATAGATTAATTGAATCTCTACAAGTCATAACAGTCCTCTCCCTGAACTGCACGGGGCATAAAACAGCTGAACAACGTGACGCGTGATGACATGTTACCATAACATGCATTTAGAAAATATATATTTTTAAACACTCTAACTTAAGTGTAGTGAGTTTGTTCTGTTACAGCAACATACCGCTAAACAGTAATCTGGTAAACGGCTTTGATTTCACAGTGATTTACCGTGGGAATGATGCGACACCTTGCTGTGAAAGTAATGCAGCTGGTCACCACTCATTTCCTGTCAACTTTCAGTCGACTCATTCACATCGTAAATACAACGTGTGAAATGCCCCGTCTGATTGGTTCCCCTCAGGGAGACTCAGACACTGAGCGTGTTCACACGTCGTCCCTCAGACGTCCTTTCCGGGCACGTTGTCTCACAGCTTGAGCAGAAGCGTCCCGGCTTCATGATCATTCGTGCTGATGGATGGCGGAGTGTTGTATGTTTCACACCCTGCTCGCCGGCAAAATGGATGTTCCAATCTCCTCGCATCTTCTGCTCCATCAACCTGAAGGAGAGCATTTTGAATATTGCCGTTAGACGGATCTCTCAGGAACCTGCATTCATTTTGTTGTTTTTTCCGCGCAGCGATGGATTAACACACTCGTACGACACCTGAAAGCAATTTAAAGTCTCCAGACAATGAGGGGAAGTCAACACATCCGCCACCCAGGAAACCTGTGTGAACACGAAGAGAACGTGCAAACTTCACACAAGTCAGAACCTTCCTGCTGTGAGGCAATACATTCTGCCTCCACACGAGCAGCACTGGTGAGGAGAATATGTTCACACAAAAGGAACACGATAAAGCTTTACAGCTGATTTATTCTCACTTTTAGGGTGTTTTGCAACTCGTGGACAATTTTAGAGGAAGTGTTGTTGTTCCGATCACATGGAATATTGCGGTGCGATGGAGACCACAGACTGAATATAAGAAGTAGACGTAGTCCTCGTGACGTCACCTTTTCGTTTGACGACGTTTTGAAGCCTCGAATTCGCCGATTTCACCGTCGCCATCTTGCATTTTGTCCGACTTGTTGTTTTTTTCCGCAACCGATGAACTGAAGTTACCACATCTGTAACGAGGAGACCTGTCACTCACAATCCCTTAGAATGGTCTTTTACAGAGATAGAAACTGAATATTCAGTGAACAACAAACGCATTAATCAGAAATGAGCATGTAGCGCTGCTTGTTGACAACAAGTGTTCGACTATACTTCATTTCACCGTCTTCCCCTCTTCCGTCCCTCCCTCCATCATGCTCTTCCTCTCCGTCCCTCCCTCCTCTCTACCTCGGTGCTCTGCACACCGTCAACTCCCAGTGAGTGGGTGTGCGACACACTTACATAAAACCAGCGCGTTACACAATTTGAACGCTGTGTGCTCACACGTGTGTGTGTGTGTGTGTGTGTGTGTGTGTGTGTGTGTGTGTGTGTTTACAATACAACCCAGGCTGTGAGACACAAATCCTCTGCTGCCATTCAGTGTGTATTTATCTGCGCTGCTCTCTTTACTTTCCGCCTCAGCACAGTGTAGCCTCTTTAGCTGTGCACAGAGCACGCTTCCTAATCCTGATATCAAACATGGTGGGGTTTCAACAAACAGTGTCGGTGCAGAGCTGCACAGATCCCCTCTGAGCTGACTAGCACACCTTCGTGCATTGCATGGGCGAGCGACAGGTGGAGGAGAGGGAGAGCAGAGGAGATGATGTCATGAAGGATGTGGTGGAGGTTCAGTCTGCCGTCTTGTCTTCTGTAGTGATGCTCTAGTTTCCTGTGTGGCTGACTTACTAATTCACCTCCCGATCACCTGTCCTCCCTCCGTCGTACTTCCTGTCGTTGCTCACCTGTCCGGCTTCCTGGCTCCTGTGCTTGTTATTATCTATTTGTTTTTCATAGTTTTCACCATTAGCTTTAAACGGAGGATGTCTGCTTCGTACTTCGTATGGACGAGTTTGTCACCTCTCAGTCTGACGTAACGTTACAGCAAAGAGTGTCCGCCACATTCAGTGTCCGCCCGGCTGATCTCGTATAATTTGCACGACTTTCTTCTTCTCCATCGCTTCTTCATCAACTTTATCCACCATAGTTCCCTAAATGAACATCATGCTGTACTAAAGAAGCTGTGTGTGCACGATCTAAGCTGTGTGTGTGTGTGTGTGTGTGTGTGTGTCTCTATGTCCTCGTCGTTTCCACTCTCTATGATTCACCTTGGGACACCTCTTAATCTCCTCACAGTTGTTTTAGCCCTCTTCATCTTCATCACTTTTTTTTTCTCAGCCCACTTATCCTCTCTCTCTGTCTGTCTCTCTGTGTCCCCCTCTCGCTCTGTGTCTCCCCCTCTCTCTCTCTCTCTCTCTCTCTCTCTCTCTCTCTCTCTCTCTCTCTCTCTCTCTCCCTCTCTCTTTCTCAGGAGTGTTCTTGTCATCCTTCTTTTCCTCTGCTGAATTGTGCTGCTTCTCTCTGCATGGATCCTCACACATCTCACACATCTTTGCACACATATACAGTATGTTCTGCTGCTTCTGTATCTCATACTCTAACACACACACACACACACACACAGTCAGGACCCTCCTGTGTAATTCCAGCGATGAGTTATTTTGCCCCAGGCCCACTGTTACTCACGAGGTATCTGTCATTTCACCCCCACGCACCCTCCCCTCTCTTGCCATCCATCATCGCACACCCCCGCCTCTCTCTCTCTCTCTCGTGTTCTAATATGCACACAAATCTCACATCCACCATCTCACCCTTTCATCTCATCCCTCTAAAGCTGCTCCTTACATCACAACCCCCCCCCCCCCACACCCACCCGATCCCTGACCTCCCACACCGTTTGCGTTGCCCTCTGACCCTCCTCATCAGCATGCCTCTCCTTTCATTGTATGTGCTTCTGTTCCTCTGTTCACATGTCTCGCATTCATCACTCTCAGTTAATCAACAGAAACCTGCAAGGTGTGTGTGTGTGTGTGTGTGTGTGTGTGTGTGTGTGTGTGTGTGAGTGTGTGTGAGTGTGTGTGTGTGTGTGTGTGTGTGTGTGTGTGTGTGTGTGTGTGTGTGTGTGTGTGAGAGTGAGTGAGTGAGTGAGTGTGTGATTGTGAGTGTGTGTGTGTGTGTGTGTGTGTGTGTGTGTGTGTGAGTGTGAGTGTGTGTGATTGTGAGTGAGTGTGTGTGTGTGTGTGTGTGTGTGTGCGGGACTGAATCCAAAGCCATGAGGAGCCCTGATGATGGGGATGGTGACTCACTGATATGATGAGCTGTCATTTGTTACAGCAGAGGCTGGTATTTGAATGCAGGTGGATGAATCAATAATTACTCATGTTTCTGTCACAAGTGCAATTTTTGGTTCATCTCGGAGATTCTTTATCTCCTCATTTTTTGGCAATAGCGGTCTGACTGAAATATCTGAAGGACTGTTGGATAGAGTCCCGTGGACTCCGGTGAGTTGTCTTCCAGCGCTACCGTGAGCTCCACTCTTGAGAGGACTCTGCGGTTATTGAATCCATCGACGTGGAATTCGTTCCAGACGTTCATGTTCCCCACAGGATGAATCACAACAACGTTGGAGATCCGTTGACCTTTCATCTGGATTCTCCTCCTGTCATCACTCTGCTGCTCTACGATACCTCATATTTAAACATGACCATCATCTGCAAAGCTTTTATTGTTCCCTGACTGTCCTTGCAGGCTCCCAATGTTACACCAGGAAGCTACCACAATATTAACAATGAACATAAAACATCAGTGTACAACTCTTGAAAGGCAACAGAATAGTAGTGTTGTGTCCGTAGCTATGGATAGAAGCAAATAAAGAGTGTCATGTCATTTACAAGCCTAACTAACGGTCGTATTAGCAATAAGCAGATGGAATTGTTTCGCAGTTGTTAAATGTGTGTAATGACCCACAAAACGAGCCAGATTAAAAAAATGAATGATCATTTATCTGGGATGCATTTGCATCCCATTAAAATGCTGAACAATCAATAGTTGACTAATTTCACATCACAAGCTGGCAGATAAATCACGATCACGTCCAGTTTGATTTATTCATTCGTGTATTTGTCCTGTAAACATCTTCACCGAACAGTTGTTGACTCACTGGTTCACTACCTCCATGATGATAATAATCTCCTGCTGACATTCATTTTCAATGTCAACATTGTTTTGTGTATTTATCTTATGAAACATCTCTCCGAACCTGTAGAAATAACAGCGTAATGTATCATAGAGCTGCTGCAACATGCGTATCTCCGGAGCTGATACTATCATCATACCTGGGTGCCGATTCCATACATATATATTAATTTACAAGAACTTTGTTTGCATTTTTAACACTAGACCGTGCGGAAAACAGTTGTCTAGAGACTTTTACTTTGAAAAGTCTCTAAATTGACAGAGTAGTCAGAAATGTACAAGAACAAAAACATTTCCCTCATAATTTAGACTTATTTTATTTCTAATTCATGAGGAACACAGGAAACATAAGTATATGTTATATATACGTATTTATATAAATACCCATTGTTAACATATTAATAGGAACATTAAACGTAGTCGCACGTGTTCCCTCCCGCTAACGTTGCTACATCTGTTAGCTTCTATTCATAGATCCACAGTCAGCTGTTTGAATGCTTTCAACGTGAACGTCACATGGGTGCACTACAGTTGTAGCATCGGCTGGTTTGACCACAGAGATGCGAGTGACGGCGGGTTGTGGGCTCTCATGTTGGTTACACTGCAGCGTTGGCAACGTTCCGCTCTGCTTCTCCTTCTTTCCAGCTCTGTGTTTCCAAACCGTACTGTTGGTTTAGTGTTCAGCACACTTTGGATTTAAAATGTGATGCGGGTCGCATCCCTGGGAGTCTCGGATCCTCTGACGTTTTCTTTGTTCGTTTTTTTTAAACAGATACGACCTCACTCAGACTACAACAATAAAAGCGGCAACTTCCTTCTAGCTCTGCACTCAAATGTAGCAATTATATCAAATCAGGCAATAAAATTCCAGTCAAATTGTACAAAATACAAATTCAATATCTCCTACTCAGGCGGCAACCTTCGCTTCTGCCGAGTGAAGACTCCTCTGGTTGTATAGAAGTCTATGAGAAAATGACTCTACTTCTCTCTTGATTTATTACCTCAGTAAACATTGTAAACATGAGTTTATGGTCTCAATCTCTAGTTTCAAGTCTTCTTCAATACAGCATGATGTTCATTTAGTACATTATGGTCCATTTAGAGTCACACAGACCATAAAGCAGGGGATGCTTTAGGGCGGGGCTACACAGTGATTGACAGGTCTCTAATAGACTTAGGTCTTATTTCTAATTGTGTTGCTACAGTAACTGTCAGTAAATCATCATGTTTGGTTATTAGTCCATTTATAACTGCCCCAAAGAATGAGAGATGAAACAACGTCCATCTGAAATCCACAGTTTGTGTGCATTTATCACTAGAACAGCTGCTGGGTTGCTTCCAACACTGACTGTCCGTCCCCAACATACTAGATCAGCCACACCAACCTTTTACATTCAGTTCCGACCTCTGCAATACCGTAATGATGTAATTATAGGGCACAAAGAATCACATCAGGGGAGCAAATTACATGATTTCAGGGTTCAAATTATATATTTGAAAGAACAAATCAGTGATTTTCTTTTCTTTTTTTCCTCAGGTGTTTAAAAAACAACTAATTTGTGTGCAGTTAGAATATCTAAAATGAATGTGAGACTCGCTTCTTTGTGCTCAACGGCTGAGGGAATATTTTTAGAAACGCGACATTTTCAGAAACCGAGAGGAGCAGCTCGGCTTAAAACAAACCTACGTTCCACACTGCTCCCCTCCCAGTCAGTGGCAGCGAGATATCGCTCACACTAACGACGTGTTTATTTACGTTCCACCTCATGGCTCTCTAGTATCCGAGGATCCTTTAACCCAGCAAGTTAAAAAGGGTGATTTAGGGACGCGGCTTCCTTTTGTCCCTCAGCAGTGCGGGCCGATCGTGTGACTACAGATGGATTGCATTAGTGCCGGGCTACATGGCGCTACAGCTGCTTCCGTCTATTTTTACCAGCCATAGATCCTAGTGGTCTGGTACCGTCACACCCGCACATCTAGACTAATGGAGGACACGCTGAGAACCACACTGATCGAACTCCACTCTCACAGGAAGAACCACCAACTGTATACACGTTGCACGTGTGGAAATGCAGACGTGCTGACACAGATTAACACACACTGCACTTCTGTGCAAAACACAACATATAAGACTGTGACGTCAGCCTTTCTTCAATAAAGCAGAGTCTGAGCATAGACCGTGTACAAGACCTTCACCCACTGGTTTGTCGACTGTGGTCTCGAAGCCTCAAGTTCAGCTTTTTGGCCGTCGCCATCTTGTTTTTTCGCAACCAGTGAACAGGAAGTGACCATATTTGTACTGTGGAGCAGTGACCGTAGAGACGCCGTACATACGTCTAGAGACCTGTCAATCACAAGAGAGCCCCGCAACTGTTCTGTATTCCACTCAGCATGATTGTCTCTGTGAAACTAATGTCTGTTGACCCTCTGGATATTCTGTCCTGAGAGCTTTCCGGTTAATGAAATCTACCATATGTCTCGGTGTTCTGATGCGGTTGGGACTTGAGTGATCATTAAAACATTCAGTGCATTCGTTCAGTTAGTCCTCGTGGGCTCCAGACTCAGTTTGACTGTAATCTCAGTGAGGTATACAGTAAATCTGGGGAAAAGACAGAACTGGTATTGGATCAGAACTTGGCACCGGACGATTTATCGGGAGAGTGCATGCATAGTTTTTTGTTCCAGTCATTGTCCTTTTACTCCTTTTGGACAAATGTAGACTTGAATCCATTGCATTTAACTTCCAAAAAACCTGTTCGTATCAAACTATCCCATGCGCCCACTGAACTCCAAACCATCCAAGAAATACTTCTGTTTCAGGGACCTTTGTTAAAGAAGCTGCTCTCTGTGAAACTTAAATACAATTGTCTTTCCAAAGCTAAAAATTATGTTTTCTTGTCTCCATCAGTTTACAAAAAAAGTAATTCATGTTGAAATATATTGTTTGGCAGCTGATCAGATTTATGTGGTCAGTTCCACATGTCGGTCAACCAGAGGTTGCCGCCTGGCTAAACATCAGCATGTTAACAGTCATTGTGTTTATATCTTTGTACTTTCTTCAGTATATTATCAATGCACCAGTGTCTGACTGTGAACCTTTAAGAGCAGGATGAAACATGTTCTGAACCCACTACGCCTTGGACTCCAACCCGTTGTTCCTATTTTCTTCCCTCCACTTGAATTCAACCCCCCTCCCCCTGTTCCACTTTAAGTCCTCTACCATTATCTGTAATGGACTCGGTACGTCAAGCTAACCATTTGTTTGTGACCTGCCGGTGCTCTGTCATTACCAGACGACTGAATGAGTGGAAGTAGTCCATCTGTGCTTGAGGCCCAGAGAGACAGCCCGCTGGCGCTGGAGAGAACACCAACACTGGACCGTTTATTCGAGGTTAGAAACTCAACGCAGACGGGCTGAGACAGCGCTGCTGAAGAGTTGAACAGGAAGCTGAGTAATTCATCGGCTCTCAACCAGTCACCTCGCCATTCTCCGTTATGGCAGAAGCCACGCTGCTTGCCCCCCCCCCCCCATTAGGCTCTGATCAGACGTCAGCTTCCTGTTGCGTTTACTGCTTCACCAAACCCCGATGAGACATATTTTTTCCCCCACTCATCTCTTCCGTCCTCTTCCGTCTCCCAGTCTCCGTCCCTTCTCTCTCTTTACCTCTTTCTTTATTCATCTCACTCCGTTCCTCTTCCTCTTCTCTTCTCTCTTTGTCTCTGCGGGGCAGTCAGAGCACAGCATTACGCTGTATAATGTCTGGTCCACTAAACGAAGGGTACCTGCTGCAGTCTGTTAATTATAGAAGACATAAAGAGAGCAAGAGAGCGGGCTCAGTCCATTGTAACAAAAAACTCATTTCAGGCAATAATATGTAAATCTTTTACATAAATGTTCATTTGCTGCCCTTTGGCAGCTATTTGTTGCTACGAATAATTCCTACATGCTTTAACTCTGCTGGATTCAAAATCCAGAGTCTGATATGTGGGACAAAGGCAGTGTTTTATGATTATTTTGGAATAAACAGAGGGAATACTGTAATTAATATGAATAAACAGAGGAATACTGTAATTAGTATGAATAAACAGAGGAATATTGTAATTAATATGAATAAACAGAGGAATACTGTAATTAGTATGAATAAACAGAGGGAATACTGTAGTTATTATCAATAAACGGAGGGAATACTGAATTTAATATGAATAAATGGAGGGAATACTGTATTTAATATGAATAAACAGAGGGAATACTGAATTTAATATGAATAAACAGAGGGAATACTGTATTTAATATAAATAAACGGAGGGAGTACTGTATTTAATATGAATAAACAGAGGGAATACTGTATTTAATATGAATAAACAGAGGGAATACTGTAGTTAATATGAATACACGGAGG